GCCTGAGGTGGTTGCATGTGCCCAACTGCCTTTGGCCTGTGTTTGGCCCAGTACCCGTATCCAGCCCAGGGCCTGCTTCACATACATTCACACAGGCGGCTCAGGGCCTGGGTTCACTCAACCAACTGGCGCTGTGCAACTGCCTGAATTTCCCTGAGTTGCGTGGTGGCCAGAATAGGGCCCTGAGGGGCCCGTCGAGCCTGCCTTCACTTAGGGCGGCCGACGGGCTGCAAAATGGGGCCTTATGGGGCTCATAGAGGCAGTGGCCTCGCAGAACCTTCTGTGACATTTTCCCCAGACGTCAGGATTTTTCCAGGTGTCAATCCGGCCGGACTTCCTGCTGTGTCTGGGTCCGGGTCTGGCGTAACCATGCTTAATGCCCTCCAGTCTTCTCTCCTGTTCTTTTCTCTCACTCGCAACTTCACATCAACCCTGTTCTGACTGACTCTTTTCTCAAACAAGTGTTCTCTCCAGCTTCTCGGACCTATGTCGATCTAGTCTCTCTTCTTGCCAGAGCTCCCAGAGGGCCAGCGCTAGAAGAGCTAACTGTTGGCAAATGCCAGTCCCTTCTAGGGTTGGCGAATGCTGGTCCCTACAAGTGAACATGATGCGCTTTGGCCGCTTACATAACGGGTCTTCACTGCGAAGCTCGTGAGTTCGCACGGAGTACATTTCAGATTCTGCAAAGTTGATAGGGCGCTTTGGCGAAAGTGAAACTTGCATCCAGCCAATTTGGAAAGCCTTTACTGTGAATTTGAAGAATCTTTCTCACTTGAGCCAAATTCGGGCGAGCAGTGCAAATATGCGGCAAGGTAGTGTGATATTGCTGCCGCATTTTCATGAACATGTTCTTCAGATCCACCAACTTTCTGGCTCAAAGGTGTCATCGCTTTGACTTTAGTTTTCATTCTGTCAGTCAGTGCAACTTTCCCCTGCAAATTTGGAAATCTTTTGTGTGTGTTTTGGATTTTCACCACAACAGCCCTTATTCCACCCAGATGAGAAGATTCAAGATTTTCACCACAACAGCCCCTATTTCACCCAGATGAGGAGATTCATAATCGAAGCAGCGTTAGTCCTATTGCAGACAACTAAAACACTTGAATTTGACTCATCTACGTGGGAGTGTTTTACAATGTTCAGTGGAACAAATACAAGATAACATGGTGGTGGTTGAAACAGGGCTGAAAACTCGATTCATTTGTTTGAAACATGAACTGGAAGCTAAAAGTTTTTTGACTTTGTTTTGAGCCATTGCGGCTAATGCTCCTAATCTCATTCGATTGAGTTGGATCAAAAAGAGTTGCAAACACTCAAAGTATGCGACGTGCTTGGTTTCGCGGTCCAAGTCCGTCGATTTAGGCTCCTTCCCCTCTGCCGGTAGGTGCGAAGTGTGGTAGGTACTACGAGCCCATCTGATTTTCAACAAGGTGAAAATTATCGTATCATCTATGTACATGTGCCTGCAGCTTGGATGAGTAGTACTAATCCACAGAGCTCCATACTTATCTTGAAATTAGGATTTAGTCATGATATGAAACTAGGCTTTGATTGAATTGAAAGCCCATCGAAATTGGTTGTGAGACGGCGCACCGTAAAAATAGGGATAAAAAGCCTTCTTATTATTCTTTTCGTTTACTTAACCTAATGGTCGCAGGTTCAAATCCTGCTATACCCATAAGGCCACGAAGTGGGGTAGACATGCTTATACTCTTTGAGACAAACCAACAATGAAACAATTACCTTTATAGCAAGCAACATGGAGCAAAATTGAAGCGTTTAAACTTTAAATCCATTTCTTAACTGTAGTTACTTTGGTTTTCTTTGGGGTACCCCTTTCATTTGTTCTTGCAGTTCCACTTTTACTATGCCTCTCGCGTACAAGGCTGACCACGTTGAGTGTGGTTGAGAGCCAGCTGCCCACATTCCTGTGTGCCTTAACCGCACGCTTGCACGTTCGATGAAGGAGGTAGAGTAAAGGGGGAGGTATACTCCTGTTCATTTTACTTCAGATCGTCAGCTTGCATTTGTCTGTTCTCTGAATGATGCTCATCCGTATGCATTTACTAGTCGGACATAAGGGAAGGGAGGAAGGAAAAGGGTAGGAGGCAGGGAGTGAGGGGCAGGGGAGGGGGGAAGGGTAGGGGAGGAAGTGGGGTGGCAAGGGACAGAAGAGAGACATGACGAACTTCACAGGGTTCTACATACTCGCCGCGGGAGCAGACTGCTCTAGAATGGCACAAGAGGCCAGTCTGTCGGTGAATGGGTTGCAGAATATTTTGAGTTGAGGAGCAGCTGTTGCCTATGGTAAGTGGCCACCCCCAGTGGTCTCCTACAGACAAGACAGGACCGGTTCTGCTGTGGACTGCGGAAGCACTGCATCCAATTCTCACAGTCGCAGTTGCTCCATCAGTGGCACGGCATAGACAGATGTCACAGGCTACGTGTCTCGAACATGCTAGGAACTCAGAGACACGCCGACCACAATTCTAGAGGCATTGCCGTTCCAGCCCCATCTACAAATAGACATGACATGTCAGGGTGCCATACATGAATGAGGTATTGGCTGTCATCATAAGCTCACTTGTGCTATCCCCACAAAGCATGTGGACCACATTCTAACAGAATCTCATGTGCAGCATTGACCAGGTTTCTTGGGTTTGGGTTGACGCCGACAGGGATTTGTCCAAAGCAAGGGTGTTTTGCTGCTGCAGGATTTGGTCTGCAACAGCTCGCCCTGGAGGTGATGTGTGTATGTGCGTGTCAAACTCTGTTGAAGTCTGCTCTCATCCGATCTGATCTGAGAGCCGGACTGGGCTCATATTCTGACTAGTTTTCTGTGCTTTGTCAACTTTTCGACCATTGTCTGTTTTGTGCTTTTCTCAGGATATGCAAGAGCAAAACAGTAGGTATATTCTCTTCTCCAGGATACCAGTGGTTTGCCCCCCCCCCCCCCCCCCCCCCCCCCCCCCCCCCCCCCCCCCCCCCCCCCCCCCCCCCCCCCCCCCCCCCCCTCTCTCTCTCTCTCTCTCTCTCTCTCTCTCTCTCTCTCTCTGTCTGTGCAGTGTTCTTTTTCTTTCTTTTTTTTAATACTGGGAAAAAAAAAAACAAGTGTGTGTGTGCAGACTATCGCCTGCACCCGCCCCAACCCTCAAAAGATACCCCCCCACCCCACCAGCAATTCCAGCACATGCCAAGGGCGTGTTTAATCCATTCAGTCTCGTTCACTAAACACAATTGAACGGCGTTCCCGCACTCAATGAGCACACATCAGTACAGGTTTTCTAACTGTTCTTGTTTTATCTTTTTTTTTTGGGCAAGAAAACCGTTCTGCTTCTGCTAGGGGGATTGGTAAGAACATCCCTCCCTAGTGGAGCTGGCTCTGGTTGCTCCGGTCTGTCAGTGGGTAGCAGCACCTGCTGGAAAGCGGGTCCAGCTCAAATTTGAAATTACAGTTTTTAACATGTGATCCTAAGACCGGGGCCATTACCTGGCTTCGGGTTGTACCCCCACTCTTTGTTAATTGTTCTGCTAAGTTCTGTTGTGGCCCTTGTGGGGGGTTAAAGCTCGAGGTGAGGTCGTCCAACGCAGTAGCTGTTCTAAAATTTAAATCCTCCTTTGACTTGTGTTCATTTTCCCCAACAAGAAACGGACCTTTCACCTCCTCTTGCATGTCCCAGCCTCCAACCCCATGACGTGCCTCAATGACACCAGCTTAATTTCATCTTCAATCTCATTCAATTGAGTTGGATCTCTCTTGAGCTGCAATGATGAGGTGGTCTGTACCACGAAGAGTCCCTATGATGTTGACATAATCACGTGAATCTTGGGCCACTGGAAAAGTCTTAATTAAATCCATGGACTCCATACTATAAAGGAAATTTCACTTGAAGTCTTGAAGATGCGGATATAGATCGATTCGGAGAAGAGCCATACAAATCGAAAGTCTCACGTAATGCTCGTAAGTCAATCCTTGCAATGGAATGTTTTAGGTTAACGCCAATTGCTTTTCCAGTCTTGATTACATACTTCCTTCCATAAATGCAGGTGCTACCTTCTTCACCCGAATAGAACCCTCCGTCATTATCACTGTATGTAGACTGGAATTTTTGCCAAATACAGCGATAATGTAGGCTGTTTGTCCAGGCGCCCGGGTACCCAACTTGTGACCGGATAAACGCCCGGGTGCCTGGCTGGGCATGAACCCCAGGCAGGGTTCCGGGCAGTCCCAGCGCGGGAAAAACAAAAAATCATTGAACTGATCAGCCCCAGGTAATTCAGAATGATTTTATTTTGTTCATCTGACAGCATCAGGATTTGAACTCGGGTTTACATTTCAACAGTTCATGGGTGTACCAACTGAGCTGGGCCCATTGGTTATATAAACGAGTTCTGGCTGAGGGTCACATCAGAATTCCTCAGAGAATCGGAGATGAAAAAGAAAGCAACAGAATCAGACAAAGGGAACGCCTTTTAAGCCCCTTAAGCCCCTTAAAAACCAATTTATACCCCCCTTCCCCACCCTTGACAGCCAGCACTTGAAAAAGGAAGGAGCCCGGTTTTGGGCTCCTCTGGCCATGCTCAGAAAACCTCCACCCAAACGACAAACAAAAAAAAAAAAAGGCAGATTTTGCCTACAGGGAGTGCCGTGTGACCCCTGGGCGACTTGCCCGGGTTGAATGGCCCTGCTGCACAGCCGGGTGAGCCAAGTAGCTTAGGCAATAATGGCCGGGCGTTCTATTTGGGTGAAGACGGTAGTGTTCCTTCATCTTGCTGCTTTACATCAATATGATGTGCCCAGACCATCCGATGTGCCATATGGTGCTCTGACTTATCCATAAGGTGTGTTTCCTGTACACATATGATGCCCTGCCAGTCCTTGCCCTCTTACCCCCTTCAGTTGATCCCAAATAGCCTGGCTTTTTTGTGGGTTTGGGGTTGCCAGCCCATTCCAGGTCTGCAGACCTCACACATTGTCTCTAGGCTCAGTTCTTAAAGTAAAGTGTGTCTACGTCTGCCAATACCCCAGTCCCACGCTCAGTACAGTCTACCGCCCCAGGGGATCTATAGTGCCTACCATCACCTCACGTCCCATCTATCGAAGTTCAGGATGTTCTGACGGGCCATAGCACAGAGGCACTTGCATATTACGTCCTCCTCAGACCAGCAAGGGCTAGCTTTTACCTTCAGCCCCTGCAGCTCCAGCAGGGTGTTATGAACATACAGGTCCATTCTTGCTATCTGTCAGCGGCTCTTTTCCAGTCTGATGAATTTTTGTCACTTTTTGAACTTTTTGTTGATAGAAGGTGTTTTCCGAATGAATGACTTGGAGAAATGTTTTTCACTGGGCCCATTGGGATGCGTCTTCTCGGGCCTGTTTTGTACTGTTTTGTACAGATGTATTCATGGGACGCTGGGCCCGGTTCCCAGCAGGTGAGGCTCCCCACCAATAGACGGAGCGGCCCGCCAGGCAAAGCCTCAATCCCGGTGGTTCTCTTACCACCACCAGGATAGAGGCCTTGTATAGGCGCGTCTTCTCGGGCCTGGCTGATGCTTTAAGTATTATGTAGATGTAGATGTAATGCAGATGTCGATGTCGATGTAGATGTAGACAAGTGGATGCCTGCCGCAGAACATGGAAAGATACATGGCCGTCTGGTAGAACATGGGAAGATGCAGTATTTTTTGTCTTTTGTGCATGTGGTGAGTAGCGGAGCGCAGGCCGCCTTAAAAACGACAAAAAAACAACCAAAAGAGACTCGCCCGTGAGCACGTAAAGAAGGTATCGCTCTAACACTCACTGGAAGCACGAAAGACAAAAAGCATGGCAGTGTATTTTCCCATGTTCTGGCAGAAGATTCATTCTCATTTGGGACGTTTGATGAGTAGTGCAGTGAGGCCCAAAAGTCGCAAAACGACATGACTTTGGGCCTCTCACTCCACTACTCACCAAATGAGCAAAGTAAGAATGAATCTTCCTGTAGCACATGGGAAGATACATCGCCACTTTTTTGAAACAGCTGAACGCCCGCGGTTCGAATCTGGCCTTTTTCAGTGCCACACTTCCAGTGGTGCCTCCTCCCTCCTCAAACGCCCATGGTTTGGATGTGGCCCTCTGCCAGTCTGTCTGTGCTTCCCCCGGGACCTCTTGCATGCCACCGATTTTTGTTGGGCACGGAGGGGGCGTCAGCTGAGGACCAGGTTAGCCTTTAGGAGGTACAAGTGGACCCGCCGCGGTGATGCCGTGGCTGCAAGAGCGGGAGGCATGAAGGAAGCTGGAGGAACGGGAGAAGAGTCTAAATTGTTCGGGAATTTCGAAAGCGCCAAAAAGTGGGAAAACAATTTTGTGTTTGCATTTCTGGCAATTCGTCCCTACACTTAGAAATCATTATCCGCTACGTGAGATTTGGCTGATCTGGGCCGCCCGCGGTCTACCGGCTGACGGTCCGGATTTCCGCATGATCTTAAGACTTTAAGACTTTAAGATCGCGTGGTGATCCAGACTCTCCGCTTTGTCGGACGGCCTGGATCGTCGCGCAATCTTAAAGTCTTAAGATCTCGCGGAAATCCGGACCGTCGGGCCGGTAGGACCGCAGGCGGCCCAGATCGGCGCGCCCGTTGGAAATAGGGCCCGTTGAAGGGCGGTGCTTTCCCTGCATTGAAATCCAACGGGCCCTCCCCCCCGCCCATCTCGACTCCGCCACCAGCTCCCACCTTCCGCCGCCCCCCACCTCCATTCCGCCTCCTCCAGCCATCTCCCCTCCGCCACTGCCCACCATCTCCCCTCGGCCTTCGCCCACCATCCTGTCCGCCTCCACCCACCTCTTCTCCGCCCGGCGCCCACCTCGCCTCCACCTCCACCCACCTCCCCTCTGCCTCCTCCTACCATCTCCTCTCCGCCTTCGCGCACCTCCGCTCCGCCACCGCCCACCATCTCCTCCCTACCTCCACCCACCTCTTCTCCGCTCGGGGGCCACCTCGCCTCCGCCTCCGCCCGCCGGTCCCCTCCCCTCCTCCTCCCCCCACCCCTTGGGATTCCTCTACCACTTCTCCCTCGGCATTACCCCGCCAGTTCTCTTGTGCTCCTGCCTCCACCTACGCTCACCTCCGCCCACCTCACATCCGCCTCTGCCAACCTGACCTCTGCCTCTGCCCACCTCACCTCCACCTCCGCTCACCTCTGCCCTCCTCACCTATGGCCTGCCCACCGTAGCGGTCTCTCTCTCTCTCTCTCTCTCTCTCTCTCTCTCTCTCTCTCTCTCTCTCTCTCTCTCTCTCTCTC